GTATCCCTGGCCAAGTTCCCTCCTGATTGCCATTCCATTAATAGGCACGGAGGGTGGATATCCCTATTTATTCTTCTTTACTTTCACGCTTGCTTTTTTCTCCTTTTTCATCCACATCCTCGAGCTCCTTGTCAGGAACCCAATTCCCTTCTAATTTTTCAGTACTGCTCGTAATAACTTTCATTTGAATGTACGTATTTAAGGGTGGGAATTTCTCCGTCCTGCCTTCCAGGTAGTTGCTAGGTCTTCTAGATTCTAGGCAGTCAATCAAAGAGGATTTTGTAGGGGACCTACGGGTTCCACTGAAAAATAAGCCAAAACAAAACCCCTTTTTATAAGTGAATTAATTGTATTGTTGGTGTAGAATGCTTGTAGATTTCTGTTGGCCATGTCCTTGCCATTCCTTGTGGGCGTATCAACACGCATCAACGTGATCCTTTCACTCAGTCTGGTAGACATCATCTATCAAGATAAATACCTACATTTATTTAACTACGTGTCAATCAACAACCATAAACACAGAACCATACCTGCTTGTTATAATGCCGAATGAAGTCAACCCTCCGCATAATTGACTCTGGCAGCTGCAATCAGCTCAGAAGCTTGCTTTTGGCTCTTGAAAACTAGGAGGATTCCCTGGCTCTTCTATCTTAGTGACCACGAAATTATCACATGATGTTGTGAATTGCCTTCCCCCCCCCCCCCCCCCCCCCCAACCCAACAAAATAAAAACGGAAAAAAGAAAAATACGGCTTGCTGTCATGAGGTTATTTAAAAGGAAAGAATCTCGCGGAGGTAAATATAATCAATATTTCGTATTACATATCCATAGTTGAGAGCGGCTGGATACGGAAAAATCACAGCTTCGATCCCTTGCCACTGCCCCTGGTTGACTGGCCCCGTACCGCGCTGTCAATAATACTCATCGCTTTGAACAAGTCATTTTCGTGGAGTTTGGGGGTAATGACTTGGATGCTGAGGGGTGAATCGAGATAGACGCGACGATCAACGGTCGAGGAATTCCCTGGTTTCACATTAGTTGCACGGTTAGCAATAGCAGGAGATAAATCAAGGGAGCCGGAGATGGAAAACGGACAGAGGGCAATAATTAAAAGGAAAAGCAAACCAGAATGTCAAAGGGAAATTTAAAATAAATAAATAAATAAATAATAAAAAAAATAAAAAAAAATAAAAAAAAGAGGAGAAAATGAGAGAGAGAACATACACAATTCTCTATTCCTTTTATCCCAGCTGGATAAGATCTTCCCTTCCATCTCTCTCCCGAGTTCGAGGTCTGCTTCAGTAAATTTTCGCACGGGAACCGCACCAGCGGCATAATCCAACAAGACCCAGCTGGATGTGTATCCGACGGCATTGTAGCGGTCATGTTCAGGAACCGGATGTGGGGCTATGGGGTGGATGATCGCATCCACCTTTCTTGCTCTGGGTTCGATATCGGGACTGGATGATCTCAGTGATGGCAGGGGCAAGGTCCACATCTTTAACATCTCTCTCTCCAACTCCGCTCTGCGGCCCTGAATTGCGCACGCCTGCGCGAGAGTCTTCGGTGTCCCTCGTTTAAATCTGGTCTGCAACCAGGGAATCAGAGGTTCCGCAGTTGCTTCGATGAGATCAGCCATGCTTCCGGCCCCATCTAGCCCCATCAGATCATTTGCCACCCGTTGACAATCACCAAGAGCGTCGGGTATGGGGATCTCGACAACTTCGACACCGGGGATGTTGCGAAGTGTTTGTGCCACTTCATTCAAGACCTTGGCGATAGGGGGTAGGGGCTGGATACGTCCGTCGGAAGGCAGGATGCCGATGGTGAATTTTCGCGGTTTCGCCAACAAGAGTGGTGGTGTCTCACTCGCACCCCATTGGCCGGGAATGCAATCTTCACCGTAGAGCTCCGCTCTCGGAACGACCTCCTTCATGAGGACATCTATATCTCCCATGGATCGGGCGATTGGCCCACCAACAGCCTGTAGACCAACACGCATCTTAGATGCGCTCGCTCTGCTTGACGGGCTGCCAAAGGGGAATCGTCCAACACTTGGTTTGAAGCCGTAAATCCCAAGGCACATGGCCGGAATGCGGATGCTGCCCCCAATATCTGTGCCAATTCCTATCATGGATCCTCTCATAGCAACCAGTACCGCCTCTCCACCGGAGCTGCCTCCAGGAGTCAACTTGAGGTTCAGGGGGTTCAGAGTGCGGCCGAAGAGATTGTTCACGCTATCAAGAGCCCCGAGGGTTTGGGGGATGTTCGTCTTCGCAACAATTATGGCGCCCAGGTCGAAAAGCAGGTCCACTAATGGCGCATTTTCTGTTGCAGGTTTGAATGCAAGGGAGACTAGGCCAATGGTTGAATCGAAGCCTTTAATATCGTAGGAGTCTTTGACAGAGATTGGGAGGCCATGTAGGGGACCAATAAGTTTGCCCGTGCGTTTCAAATGTGCATCAAGTTCAGAGGCTCGGGCTAGAGCCTGTTCAAAGAGTGGCTCTGTGATGCATCGGGTGAGTTGGTGGGAGATTGCGGCACGCTGGAGATAGTTAGTTATTGGTTTACTTTCTCTGTATAGAATTTAAATAGAGATATTTGTATCTTTTTCTGGGAAATAGGGGGCGGGAGGTTTAGAATAAAATAATCAACACCTCAGCACAGTGCGTCAGGAATTGTATACAGGAAATATTTGGATTTTGAATGAAGCAGGAAAGCCTAGATTTGGGAATAATAATAATAATAATAGAAGAAGAAGATGGAATCCCACCTTGCAAAACGCCTCTGAGACCTCTCTTGCTGATAGTTTGCCTGAGGCAATCTCATGCAACAAGCCCTTTACATCCAATCTCTCAGTAATCTGTAGCTCTTTCGGCTTTAACAGACCGCAATTCCGCGGGACATCCATAACGTTAACAGCTTCGTACTTATTAGTGACCATGACCGATTCCTCCGGTGACAACATGCCAGCAGGGATCCATTGGGAGGAGAGCTGCCATTCCTGTGGAATGCGGGAATTGAGCTGTTCAAGCTTCTTGCGGGCAATGGCCTTATAGGAGAGTTCAGCCGACATGTTTTAGAGTTGGGAGATCAGAGTAGTTTTGATTCTTTGCAGATACAAAACATATGCTTCTACTTCTTGGGCAGTCTTACATAAGATTTCCAATCGTGAACTCCTTGCTGTATGGTTATAAAGGAGTGGGATAATACGTTCCTCTCTTGGGAGGGGGACTGAAATTTTGATGGTTGGTTGGGTTAACCTACAGGAGCGGAGACGCAGAGACGCAGCTAAGAGGGGTGCATAACCGGGCTTGGCGCGAAGTCGCTGGCTGTGCCGAAGGAGAACCAGAAGTAGTACTCAGAAACAGATAGATATTATGGGATTTGGGTTAGTCGGTATCATCTGTGACTCCGGGCTAGGATCAAAATTCCCTTAAACGGTTTATTTTATTGTTTGTTTTGTAAGAAGAAGAAGAAGAAGAAGAAGAAGAAGAAGAACTGTCTTGGTCTTGCCGTGGCCATGTTAGGTCGGTCATCTTTGCTGCTCAACTACGGCCTCGGCAAAAAGAGGGTCAAGCGTTCCAGTCGCTTAGCCGACACGGTATATTGAATCGAACGAGAGAGTTTAGAGAACTTGTGAATCAAATATTGTTGTTGCAATGTAGACCATGGACGGTGGGAAGAGCTAGGGAAGTCCCCGTTGTGTTTGCTAGTCAAAAATTCCAATTTCATTCTCTGAAATTAGATGAGAGAGAAATTAAAAGTAATTAAACAACACGCTTTTGATGGATCGATAAATCACTGTGCACCAGTAAGGAAGAGAAGAGCAAAGGCAAACGGAAGAGGACGCCGCAACAAATTTTGCTAATAGTTGGATAACGATGAAACCAATATCTCGAGACATCCCTCCCAAAAGCCCGGTTCGAACACCAGCAGCACTTTATCCTCACTCGATTTCTCCAACTCATGCCCGTTAGACAGAAGAGATGCCCCTTCAGATTATCCAGATAACTTGGGATACCCCGGAATAATCCCCTTCCACCATTCCCATTTGATCGGTTTGTGTGGCAGCTTACTTCAAGTTTTGGAGCTGCCAATCATCTCCAAGGGCGAAGACGTCTTGCAACACTTGCCGTCTTGCCACCAGGGTACCACGGCCAACACAATGCTGTATTTTCGACATCCCATGAAATACAGAGCAGAACTTCAATCATGACTGACCTCTTGTCAGTCTCAAATTGTGATATGGGAGTTAGGGCATGTTACATCACATGGTGATGGGAGATAAGATAAGAGAAGAGATGAATAAGCTAGTTTCGGGTCACGTGAAGAGAGCTCCATCCAGCAAGTTCAGGAAAGTTTTTCAAACTCTCGCCGAACGCTGATGGGGGGATTGTTCAACCCGTCGAGATTTTGCTAGGCCCACACAGGGACTAACGTAGGCCCATGCTGCTGTTTACTAATTGTGCTGCCTAATTTTGCCATTTACATGCAACAATCGCAGGCATGGGATTTCATGTTTCCTGCAGGAGACGTGTTCATTCTGTTGCCTTCGCCGCATGGGAATCTTTGACTCGCCCGAGCTTTATTTATTTATCCTTGACAGCTCTTGGGAGTGTGATTGGTTCGATGCTCCACTTAACAAAGGCGGGAGGAAAAAGCGTGTGGTACTTCAGGCTGTATGGCAATCCCAGAGGCAGACAAAGAACCTGTCTTCTAGTGCGTTCTCGGCGCTTCGTGAAATGATTCATAATGTGACGTGCGATCCATAATGGCCACAGGTCTACGTAACCACCGTGTGCCTTCACAACTCACGCCTATATAACATGCTACCTCAAGCATCTTGTTCTGGTTTATTTCTGTTTTCATAACAATTTCCTCTTCTCTTCTCCGTATCTAAGTTATATTACAAGAGGTGCTATACCCAAAGACACGAACGATCTGTGATACCCTGCAATTATTATCTATATTCATACAGAAACAGATACAGTCCAGCATGGCAAACATCTATTACGTCAACCAACACCCTAGCCACCATCCCCACCCATGGTGGAACGTCTTGACGGACCTTGGGGAGCACGGAATTCACATGTTTTCCAACCCTGCGCCCCACTCCGGCCATGGGCGTGGAAATCGACCCCTCTCCCAGCATAGGGCACAGACAAGGCCTCAGCCTGCTTCTCAAGAGACGGGAGCTCAGGACGCCTCCGACAACGATCACAGCTGTGGCGAACCGAGTGCCCGTGCTTATGACGAGAACAGCAATGTTAGGGAAGGTGGACAGGAGAACAACGCTCGTGACATCCCCTTCCGGGGCCGCGGGTGCCGTCGTGGCCGAGGTGGGCCTTGGGAACATGGGGAACATGGTGGGCCCGGTGGCTGGGGCCCTCATCGTCGACATCGACATGGCCGACCAACGGGTGGCCCGTGGGCGACCCATGGGGAGCGTGGACAACCATCAGGAGCCCCCCAAGAGCACTTGCAACAATTCATCAACAATCTCGCCAACCAATTTGGCGTCGACCTCAACGACGTGTTGAACAGCTGCAACAATCAATTCTCAGAAAATAATAAGGAAGTCGACTTCGTCCCCCGCGCTGACGTCTTCGATGCAGCATCTCAGTACATCATTCACGTGTCACTTCCCGGTGCACAAAAGAAGGACATCTCTGTCGATTACGACACTGAGAATTCCACCCTCCGTCTCGCAGGAGTGGTGTATCGACCTGATGTAAGCGAGGAGCTCAACAACGCTATGGTCATTGACGGAAGATCTCGCGAAGTCGGTGTCTTTGAGCGGGAGATCCGCCTTGGAACCCGCGACCAACCCGCACATGTCGACGCTAACAATATCAAAGCGAAATTGGCCGATGGTATCCTCATCCTATATCTTCCCAAGGTAGTTGTGGACAGGGACACATTTAAACGGAGAGTCTCTGTGGAGCAGATCAGGAATGAGGTTGTCCAGGTTGCAGACGGGATAAGGGAAGATGCAAATGACAATGAGAAAGAGGAGGGGAAGGGGAAGGGAAAGGCACCTGAATCCCAGGCTATGGAAATTGATTCCGAGACGGAGGGAGGGGAGCAAGCTGTGAAAAGTGGTAGACGGACTCTAAGTCCAAGTGTTCGTTCAGAGGAGGAGGAAGAGAAAGAGTATGTCGCTGTGGATGTGGACTAGAAAATTGTTGGCATCCCCCACTATCTTATTCTTTCGATGGGTTTTTTTTTTTTTTTTTTTTTTTCCTTCTTATTTTTGGTTTTATCGTTTTAATCTGCGTTTCGTTTCAGGATTTGGAATTTTTCGTGATATCATGTGGAATAATGGATCGGAAAGGGCACGTGTAGGATGTAATGCTACGACTTGGTATTTAATCAAATTATTAAATTGATATGGCAAAAATCGATCATTTGCTACTTCTCGAGTTCTCAAAAAATATCCGGGCAAATCTATCCACGGGAAGATGACGGCTTCTTTAAATTTATATAGCGGGTACTTGGATCCTGATCCATGGATTCGTTTCATCAGTTTTATGTCGGACCCTTCCGTCACGTGCCCTATTTTCCACCGTATATATAGTCGTTCTCGTTAGTTAGCATTGCTACCTTTGCAATCGATCAAGCCTGCCAGTCTGTCATATATATCACCCCTCGTTCCACAGTTTGAATACAGTAGATAGTATCAGATCCATGGTGATGAGAGCTCCAATAGCTAACCCTAATAATTCTCTAGAAAATGTTTGTTAGTTTAGATCAGTTCCTTCATGATTACACTCTCTTGCACCCAGGGGATGATTTTATATGCTTATGTCACAGGGAAAATTGACATCTCTATGAATTTTTAGCTGCTTGTGAACTTTTTGCACTTCAATCAACAAAAGTTTCTTCACCACCTGTCATGGACTCGTTCTGAAAGTTAGCAGCCGTATTGTGCGGGGTTTGGACCACAGGTGATTTCGGCATGATACTTTTGTGTGAGTAATGAAGAGCACTGAAAGGAGCTGCTTGAACAGATAAAGAGTGAGGCCTCCAGTGCTTCTGCTATGAAACTTACGTGATATTTGAGAGGTGTGGTTTCTGAATAGTTTTCGCGGTTTCATTTGTTTTCGAGTGGCATTTTCCGTCGCTTGAAGTCAAGTTGTTGGTAGCCCTGAAGAGCTTCTTCTCCCTGCATCCAAGAAAAGCCCCAGGTTTCTTCTTCAACTGCTGATTACATCCCCATGGCGGTCTGTGTTTCACCATGCGAGTCAACTCCCAGTTTTGATGCTTTGTTCCGGTTGGTTAACTAAGTGAGAGGTAATTTCACTCGTTCCACCAACCACCCCGTTCAACGGGCGCAAAGTTGCCGATCCACATCGCGCATTTCACATATCATCGGCTTGCTTCGAAGAATCATCATCTCCGCTTGTCCCTTGTTCCCCCTCTCCGTTTCACTTCTATGAAACCTGGACAAGATGTTGACGGCACTCCACACTGAGCGTCAATCAACTGTATACAATTACAGCCCAATTGGACTACATCTGACTAGACCCATCCCACGATGGCTCGAATCACCAGTAATCCGTGGATGGTCAATGATGTCCAAACACAAGCAACAAGGCGGCGAGCTATTAGAGGGTTTCATGCATCTGACTCGCTAGTCATCCGGGGAGGGGGGGGGGCGTCTTGTCGATCCCTGTAGTTCTAGATTCGCTGCCTGCCCACGAGTCGCGAAATGGAAGCAACCTGCAATCTCTTCATCCCCCATGTCCAATATTGCAACACACCTGGTTTTCTTTTCTTTTTGTGGAACCGGAAATTTTGTGATGCGACTGATCACTCAAGGGCGATATGATCATGATTCATGGATGAAATACACAACCCAGAGGAGAGAAAAGTAAGAGTGAGTTTTCTGAATAGCGCATTACCTACGGAGTACGGAGTACTTAGGCATGTTATGCATGGAGTGGGTGATCTGGTGAATAATGTTGAAGCATGATCAGCAGCAGCGCACTTAAGCTTGTTCTCGATAGCCCAGGAATTACAATGCCTCTTCAAAAGTCTTCAACACCCAATCTGATTTTACACAAAAATCTATGTATTCTCTCGAAGACTCTTTTTGTCGTCGACAATGAAAGCATCATTTGTTAACATAAAGTGGAGCAGTCCAATACTATTATTGTCGCCAAAACGAAGTAAACGAACACCTTCAAAGAACGTTGACCCCATCAATCACAAATGCTGTAATGATCATATAATACCTTGCAATTCTATAAACAACCCGGGGCCTTTTTATGGCGGCAAACACGAAACGTACCCTTTGTCGCATTAGCAACTTGGGTTGCGGCGATGGTTGGTTGGCAGGGCCTTGGTTGCATTTCATGATTAGGAGACGTTTTGGGTGTACTGTCACGGAATTACCGTCCCAAATAAACGGCTGTTGCACTGTTGGTGTCTATGTAATACGACCTCGATACACATTGAAACACATGTACCAACAACATACATCCAACAGTTTGTTTCTTCTCCCCGTGTTTTTAACCCTTTTATAATCCTCTTCATCCGCTTCTCTTTTATTTTATTTTTATTTTCCCATCGCGCGACTCTCCGTTCTTTGTGTGCTGTGGATATTTTTTTTTTGCCATAGAGTAGTTGTTTATTCTGTTCTTTCATTTGATTGATTCACAGTCTCTCCTTCACAAGAGCTTTGTTTACAGGCAACACAACAATCCGATTGAGAGAATTTACTTCTTATAGTCACGACCACCCCTTTGCAGACCTCTCTCTTCCTCCGTACCAAAACACCCTCCTCATCTTCTCATCAACTCCTCCTCTTTCTCCTTGCGCATGTTGTTTGTGTGGGTGTCATTCTCTCATTCAACTTGTGTCTCTTTAGCTTTCTCTCTTTTACGATTTTCATTGCTGTTCGGATATCTACATCCTAATTTCAGGTGCTGTGCACTTGAATCTCCTTTTCTTCTACCAACACCCTTAATATCCTAGCTTTTCCTATATTAATCCCCGCTTTCTAGAGCACTAGGACCCCCCATTTCATGAAATCATGATGTTCTCATCATTAATCCTGTGTGTTATTGCCCATCTCTGGTTGTTGCTAGGCGGCTTGACTAGCCCTGTTAGTGCGATCCCTATGTCCCAGGAGGAACCCCTTACTGAAGCATCGGAATATTGGGTGAGCTCTATCCTTCGCCAAGGTAGCCCTGCTTTTGGACAGTCCAAGAAATCGTACACAGTCTATCGAAAAGTGACAGACTTTGGCGCAAAAGGTATGGTTTAGCCCCCTATCCTTACCTTCAAGCCATGTGAAATCTTGTTGACGAACCACGAACCTAGGCGATGGTGTGACGGATGATACTGAGGCGATCAACAAGGCAATATCAACCGGAGATCGTTGTGGATTGGGTTGTGACTCCTCAACTGTCACGCCAGCTATTGTGTACTTCCCTCCTGGCACATATGTCGTATCCAAGCCAATTATCCAGTACTATTACACCCAGCTCGTTGGAGACGCTTTAGCTCTTCCCGTACTCAAAGCTGCCGCTTCATTTCAGGGAATTGCTATTATCGATGCTGATCCGTACACCGATACTGGTGCCAATTGGTATACGAACCAAAACAACTTCTTCCGGTCCATTAAAAATTTCGTTATCGATATGACAGGTATGGATCGGGGATCCGGCGCTGGTATCCATTGGCAAGTGGCTCAAGCTAGCAGCCTACAAAACATCCGCTTCGAGATGGTCCAAGGCGGTGGTGAGGCCAATAAGCAGCAGGGTATCTTTATGGATAATGGCTCCGGTGGTTTCATGACTGATCTTGTCTTCAACGGTGGTAACTATGGTGCCTTTTTGGGTAATCAGCAGTTTACCACGCGTAACCTCACTTTCAATAATTGCAATACAGCGGTGTTTATGAATTGGAACTGGGCATGGGCATTTAAATCGATCAGCGTCAACAACTGCGGTGTGGGTCTGAACATGTCAAATGGTGGTTTCAACCAGACCGTTGGCTCTGTGTTGATCCTTGACAGCAAATTTAAAGGCACGCCTAAAGGTGTGGTCACCTCTTTTAACGAAGATAGTGCTCCTGAAACTGGAGGAACTTTAGTCATCGACAATGTCGATTTCACAGGTTCTGAGATTGCGGTTGCCCATATTAATGGCTCAGTTGTCTTGGAAGGAGGCTCAGTCGTGGCTTCATGGGTCCAAGGTAATGCATATAGCCCTGGAGCAAGCTCTCTCCAGACGAAAGCATCGAAGAGAGCTCCTCATCCTCAGCTCCATGGACTATCTCCACCCATTCATAAGCGCCATATTGCTAGAGATTCTTGCAAAGCCCCTGTGCCTCCCGCACCACAGCCAGATCCGAATTTTCCAAAACCCAACCCGGCACCCTCACCACCGCCAGTATCCACCTTCAACTCCCCAACACAAATGGAGACACCAATCACAGAGTCGAGATCGGCAATCAAAACTCCATCTTCAGTCTCACCAACGGAGCCCCCATCGCCATCTCCCTCACCAACAAATAGCGCTCCATCAGATTGCCAACAATCGGCCCCCGCGAAGACACGAATCAGTGAGGTTCTTAGCAACCCTACGAAGCCTGCAGTCCTCCTTGATTCATCTGGTAAAGTATTCGAGCGGTCAAAGCCAGGGTACGAGAATGTTCCCACAACGTCTTTCATAAGTGTTAAGAAGGCTGGAGCCAAGGGAGACGGAAAAACAGACGACACGAAAGCAATCCAGGAAGTTTTGGATAACGCGAAGCCAGATCAGATCGTGTATTTCGACCATGGAGCGTATGTCATTACCTCTACACTCAAAGTACCTAAGGAAATCAAGATAACGGGTGAAATATGGCCACTACTCATGGCCTCAGGCCCCGCCTTTTCTGACGAGACAAAACCCATCCCATTCCTGCAAGTCGGCCAACCAGGTGATAAAGGCACAGTTGAAATCAGCGATTTGATGATAGAGACTAAAGGGCCTGCCCCCGGGGCCATCTTGATGGAGTGGAATGTTGCTGAAGCGTTCCAAGGTTCAGTGGGAATGTGGGATGTGCATTTTAGAGTTGGTGGTACCGCTGGTACCGAGCTTCAGAGCGACAGTTGTGCCAAGACACCGAATAGCACCACCACACCCGAACCTAAGTGCCTAGGGGCCTTCATGCTCCTCCACCTCACGAAGCAGGCATCCGGGTACTTCGAAAATACCTGGTTCTGGGTTTCGGACCATGAACTCGATCTATCCGATCATGGACAAATTAACATTTACAACGGCCGTGGCGTGCTGATTGAGAGCTCTGGTCCTGTTTGGATGTACGGTACTGCCAGCGAACACTCGCAACTCTATCAATATTCAATAGTCGGCGCCAAAAACGTGTACATGGCCCTGATTCAGGTGGAGACGCCATATTACCAAGCCAACCCCAATGCACTAGTCCCCTTCAAACCCAATTCGAAATTCAACGACCCAGATTTCTCCAAGTGCACAACTGAATCGTGCAAGAAGGCGTGGGGCCTTCGCATCCTCCGGTCTAGCAACATCTACCTCTATGGTGGCGGCTTATACAGTTTCTTCGATAATTACGAACAGGAATGTCTCGCTACAGAGTCTTGTCAAGAAAATATGATTGAGGTAGACTGCTCGGCTGTCCATTTGTACGGGGTCAGTACGAAGGCGAGCACGAATATGATTACGAGTGCAGAGGATGGAAAGGCGCTTGTGAAGCAGATTGAGAATCGAAATACTTTTTGCTCAACGCTGGCTATTTTCCAGCAGGCTGCTGAGTACATAAAATGGAGTTGGTTATGATTTTTTCTTCTTTTCTTCGCTTTGTTTAAAGGTTTCTTTATATATGTTTCTTCTCTTCTTTTAATTACTCTTTTTTGCGCATCATACCCCCTGTGACCAGTCAAAGTACAGTTCGGCATGCGTTTGTTTGCGATGGATTTTGCCGATAAACGGCAGGCGTTATATAAATTCGGATGACGAGTGTCGATGATTATTGATTTAAAGATTGCATTTGCTCAATGTCGCAACAGTGCTAGTCAACTAGCTCTAGGAGCTTCTTCCCCTTTACTTATTCTTTGAGAATCCTATAACAATAGTATGTGCTCTGTACTCAAATATGAATTGCTTGTCAAGGACGTATTAAAACTTGGTAGAATCAGATTCGGAATCACAATGTTCCAACTCCGGGGCCGATGAGCGTATTTCACACCGTATATATCACTATTTAAATTAAGATCGAGAACGACTACACCCAGAAGCACCCCGGGGTGTTTTCTCAGTCGTTCATTCTTGGATCAAAACTGGGAACACCACAGCAAATTCCATGCAACGACTTTGCATTGAGAAGAGAGGAGTTGAACTACGACTCCACAGCCCTCAGTGGGCCTTAAATTCACATCTGCTGTCGTGCCCGGTTTCGTGGAAGCCCTAGCAATCACTAGCATCTGTCAAGGTCGTTGACCGGCTTAAAAATTTGACTAGATGTTGGCAATAGTGGATGTTGTTATGGAGAACGAGTAACTAACTATACGAACGATGAACTGTTCGAACAAGGCATCATTGGATTGTCGCTGTGGACGCTAAAGCATCTCGGAATGAGAGTATGCTCGACGTTATTCAGTTTCTCTGGGGTTGCCAATACGCAGTTCGACGAAGGTTGTCCTTTTTTGTTGCTCGGCAGGATGCGTTCCAAGATTCTATTTAACTGGCGGCTGGTATAGTTAAACTATAACTTAATCGCCTGGCTTTCTAAGTGCGAGGTCCCACCCTAACTAACTGGAAAAACGATGTCCGTTCGATAGGCCACCGCTGTGTTCGAGAATTTCGACACTGTCTTTTCACAGACATTTGCTCTGTTGCCGCAATGAGCGCTGGGTTCTATTATCGTTTGACCTGGCAAGGAGCCTAATGGTGCTGATCCAACATAGGTCAATATTTTTTGGATCCGAAGAATCCGAAGAAGCGAAAAATATATGGACTTTGCGGTGCTTTCAAACCTCTCGAATTATATATGTCTACTAGTTTGGGAGACTGGTTTCTCTTCCAAACACTTCATATCCACGTTCCCGGTGGAGGAGGCTATCGATTTCCTTCATTTGTTCCTTCGTGCTATTTTTCTTAGAGCAATACCTGGCCACGGTCTAATAGTCCAATAACTATAGGTTTCATAGAGATCTCGCAACCTCGATTCGCCACTTTGCACTTTTTTAAGTCCCTCACATTCTTCTAGGGTTTGTCAAATTATGGGGGCCTCACGGGCTTACCGTGCTTTTCCTACTTCGAGGATGAGAGGTGTTTTAGTTACTAGGTTATGCTGGTGAAAATCTCACTCGAACCCGGTTGGATTAAATAGAGTAGTATGATTTGACCCTACACGATTGTTTAACCCGAATCGCCCCAACAGCAATAAACCATTTGATTAATTTGGCATGAGAAGTTTTGGAAAGGAAGCTGTAATGCAGAATGGAACCGCTTTATTCACGCAGCATATCCTGAAATCGGTCGTTGATGTGGAATAACTAACTAACAATCGCCATACTGCTCTTTACTTGCAAGGGCAGGACTTGGAGCAGGGGCTGAGAGGTCATTTTGAATAACAACTAGCACTCTGTGCTGTTGTTGTACAGGTGAGCCAAAATGATAGTTAAGAGTTATTTTGATCTTCATGACAAACATCAGCCCGGGTAAATAAGCCCGTTATCGCAGCAGCTCTTGAGTTGTTCTGTGAAAGCTCCCTGCTGACAATGGGTTCTCCCACCTGGGGTTGTCTCCACAGCTAGCCTTCTGGGAGCCTAACTCACTTATCCACATTCTTCTTCAAGAGCCTGTGTAACTATTTTTGCCTGTGAAGCGTGGTCATGCCATCTTTAAATTCTCGCTCAGAACAACTATTAGCGTAAATAATTTCTGAACTTCCTCTGCCACTAGGCTTCTGAATAGCCGCAGGTAAAATATCGCCACCTCTTCGGCAAGTATCAACGGGTGACTGCACTTCACACCATCCCCGGGCACGAAGATGTCCCGAACGTAGTCCCCACAACTACTCTACGATGATGTGCGAAGGGATTCGTGGCAGAATGGAGTTCCAATAAACGCATTCGACCCTTTTGCCGGGAAAAGATGATATCAAGCAAAAGTTCTGTGCCACTTTGGCAACGAGAGATCTTGAGACCTGACAGGCCGTTGTGGTTCTCCCGTCTCGACCCTGAGTCAGTTGGCTAGAATCAAGGCTTTGCTCCATGACACAGGATCCCCACTCCCAGGCTGGGCGGGAAACCCAATAATATTGGCATTCGGTGCATGCCCGGAGAATTTTGATGCTGGATGGCGGGGAAATGGAAGCAATGGCCCAACCATCTCGAAACCAGAAGCCAAGATGTTTCTGGTCGTTGTGGATATTGTTGGTCCAACTTCGGGGTGCCTCCGTGACTCCGCGCGTGTTTCCCCGCGTTAACCAGCAGGGACACCTCAGATTAACGCGGGGAACAAACGTGCTACAACAGCCCACAATCCCGATGACAGGGGATGGATTGCCACAGCCTCGGGTTTCCTATTTTGCCCCAGATTGGTGTAATGCATGGATATCATTCTTCTCCAGATGTGCACGGAGACTGGCGAGATTTCTCGCCGGGATAGTAGTATGCTGCAGGATACTGGGGATCCTATATAAGATAGATACCATTTCTTCACATCGGTGACCACGGCTAACAAGGACCCAGCCATCCCATCCAATTGCCTGCCTATCCGCTGATCCCATTTCTTCCTGATTTCTATCCTCAAGCCAAAACAGAAAACAGGGGGTTTGCCGCCGAAATCATGACTTCCAGCGACTTGAAGTCGCAGCATGATCATCTCGATGATAAAGCCAGCACACAGGAGTCTGGCGAGATGTTCACACCTAAGGAAGCCTCCGCAATAAGGCGTCGGATAGACCTGAGACTCATCCCTGCACTCGGTCTCATGTACGGAATTTCCCTTATGGACCGAAAGAACGTCTCCAATGCCGCGATTGCGGGAATGCTGGTGGACCTCAAGTTGCAGAAAGGGTATGGATACAGTTTGATCACCCTCAGCTTTTTTATCACATACATCTTGTTCCAGCCCGTCATGACGATTGCGTGTCGCAAAATCGGTCCCCGTCTCTTTTTGCCGGGTATCTGTCTTTTGTGGGGGAGTGTTATAATCGGATTTGGCTGGATCTCTAAATGGACTGGTATGGTCGGCTTGCGACTGGTTCTCGGAATTCTCGAGGCGGGATACTTTCCGGGATGTGTCTACCTCCTTTCTACATGGTTCACTAAATGTAGGTAAACCTCCAACAATCTTCACAATACTCTTGTATTCTAATGTCGTCCAGTTGAGGTGGCGCGACGATATTCGGTCTTTTATGTGATTGGGACTTTCTCAAGTGCGATGTCTGGAATCCTCGCATTCGGACTTATGCAGATGGAGGGAGTGCAGGGTATTCGGGGTTGGCGTTGGTGAGCATCTGTGTTGTACCTATCATCACGAAGGATTTCTTGCTAATATCGTGACGCAGGATTTTTATTATGGAGGGAGTGGTAAGCGCTCAAAGCGGAAGATACTCTACAGCATGTTATATTCTGACCGTGAACAAAGATTACAATCGGAATAGCCATTTTTGCCTACATATTTATTGTCCGCTTCCCCGACGAAGAGCTGACAAAGCCTTCATTCCGCTTCCTCAAGCCAGATGAATGTCAATTCATCGTTGATCGCCTGGAAAAGGACCGCGGAGATGTGGCAATGGAGCCATTCAATCTCCTCAAGTTTTTGAAACCTGCTCTTGAGTTGCACATTTGGGGATTCGCTTTCTTGTTCTTGTAAGTGTTTCCATACAGAATTTATTCCCACCCTCGCAGAATCGTAATCTCTTTTCTTTAACTTCTCCTAATGATTCAACCTCTGCGGTTCAAACCTTTAATCACTCTCTAACATGATCCAGCTGCCTCACGACTGTCACCTACTCATTTGCATGTGAGAAATCCCTTTCAAATCCATAATGTGCAGGCGATCCCGGAAAATATGACGAACTAATGGTCAACGCAGTTTTCCTCCCCATCATCCTGAAGGATAACCTCGGATTTTCCATGGCGGCTTCGCAATGCCTGGTTGCACCACCATACGCCTTCGCAGGGATATTGATGTTTTCGACGGCCTGGTTTGCAGACCGTCTTAAAGTTCGGTTTCCTTTCATTATTTTGAACAGTGTGATAACAATTGTTGGCCTGCCGATTATGGGGTTTCACTCGAATTCTGCTGTGAGATATTTTGGCGCGTTCCTCGGCGTAGCTGGAGCGAATGCCAATGTTCCTTTGGTCATGGCATACCAGGTAAGCAAGTCTATAACTTTTTAAGTCAAAGTTAACTCGGCTGACTTTCAAATTTTCCTCTGAAGGCAAACAATATCAAAGGTCAATGGAAACGCGCTTTCTGTTCTGCAACACTGACTGGATTTGGAGGAATTGGAGGGTATGCATCAGCCTGCCATCAAAGAGTTGAAAATAGGTCACTAATAGTTAACCACCACATTTAGAATAGCAGGAAGTCTTATTTTTCGCTCGCAAGATAAACCAAGCTATATCCCTGGTATTTCCGCCTGCATAGCGTAAGTAGAGTGACATGAATGCAGCTCTTTCTTTTTCCCCGTTCCCCTTCTCCGTCTAAGCATTGCAAGGAAAACCATTTGCTAATCCCTATCCTCTTTGACCCACACAGCACTTCCTGTGTCATCGTCATCACCGTCCTCATCATGACCGCATATTTTAAGTGGGCGAACGACAAAGCCGATAGAGGCGAGAAAGTTATCGATGGCAGTCCCGAATTTAGGTACACCCTCTAAATGGCAAGTTATCCTGCCACGAACGCATTTTAATATATAGGAAATGAAGAATGGCGTATCTAGGATCTTTAAAGCTTAGTTGGCTTTTAATACTTTTGTTTTAAGTTCCGTGCGGAATGTCTGATGGACTTCATGGCGTTGATCAAGGAAAAGAATGGCTGCCCCCATTATTCCTGGATGGTTGTTCAGCGTTGATCGTCCATCAAGAAGGGAATCAAGAACTGAGCAGAGCGGAAGGGATGTATCCCTTGAAACTTCGCTACTTTAGATATCTAGATCATTAGATATGGCCCCTGGATAGGTGTCAATACCAACTAGCGCTTCCTAAATACATGTGGATGGCGTTTATGTCGCATAGTTTTGCTTTGACCGCATACCCAACGCTCGATTGAGTGTATGTCTTCTCCACTTCAATTGACCAAGTCGAGGAACCAGGAGATTAATTCTTGCTTGTTCATAACAATTTCCAACAGGAGTAATGGGATGTAGTGAGCACAGGAAGAACAAGATGGAAAAATTAATTAAATTGTCATCTCACGTGCGTTCCAATTCCCTCCTGATCAACCTCGCAAGCCTTTCAACCCCTTCATCAAATTTCTCCTCCTCCTCCCACGCAAAACACAACCTAACATAACTCTCAAAATCTTCAGCTTCACCCAAGGCAACCTTGTCGGCATCAGTTCTATATCCGTCTTCCCGAGCAACGTTGAACAAATTCCCTCCGGCAATAACTACATCCTCCTCCCCCTGTGCCTTGCCTGCTAGGTCGCTAGCTTTCAATCCTCGCGGGAGACGAAGCCAGAGGAAATAGCCGCCTGCGGTGGTACCGGAATTTGCATTTGCACTTGCACTTGCATTTGCATTTCCATCTGCATTTGTCAACAACACGCCAAGCGGGACGAGGTGTTTCCGCACAGCAGCAGTGAGTGTGTAATAGCGACTGGAATACTCAGGCTGCAATACGTTCCTAATATGCGTTTGCAGCGAGTTTGTCGAGAGAAGTTCACGGATGAACGTCGAGGTAAGTTGCGAAGGGCAGCCGCCTGAGCGGGAGGAGCCGCTGCAATATCGGGTTAGCTAGGAATATACAGGATACATGGTTTCTACGTAAATCATCCAGCTACTGCTGTAGGAACGCATGGAACATACGTCTGTGACAAGCCATAGACAAATTTATCCGTCCCTTCCGCCCAGCCGACACGACAACCAGGACCGACAATTTTGCTAAAGCTGCCGTTGCTAACGGCATTCCCGAAGTCGTCCTGTGGTCCGCCGTCGAGATATCGGTCTACATCAACGATGCGCGGGACGAGTGCTTTGTCTGGGTATATTTTTGATGGGGACGGCGAGGCGGAAACGGGCCATTGGAGATGGTCATATACATCATCGGATATGATTAGGGCGTCGTATTTACGGGCGAGGCGGACCAGCTCCTCGCGACGGCGGAGGCTCATTACTTTCGATGAGGGGTTAGAGAAGGTCGGGGTTGTATAGATTATGTGTTTGTATAGCTTCCGCCATGAGCGTGGAGGTTTGAGGGTCCATCTCTGGATGTTGGTTCAGTACATATATTCACACATTGTTCGCATATTAAATTTTGAAATAAAAGAATTAGCGAAGGAAAAGGGGAAATGAATGAATGAATGAATAAATAAATAAATAAATAAATAAATAAATAAATAAATAAATAAATAAATAAATAAATAAATAAATAAATAAACAAATTGAGAATAACCGGTCTAACCCGCCCCAGGTACAGCATACCGATTCAGAATTCCGCTCTCGCTCCCAGCACTTCTCCGCCCCAGCCCGCCCCTCACTGCTCTCCAGCCCCCTTTCCAACTCCTCCACATCCACCCCCTCCGCATCCTCGCTCACCCCCTTCAACTTGCCCGAAAATCCCGCATCATCAAAAATCCGACACGCCAGATAATACGTTGGCACCACCAACCAAACATTTCGCGTGTACAGAGGGTCCGAAAACACCTGGAGCAGACAAGCCAGGTTCTGACTTGCGCCACCAGTGATACATATGCGGGAGGCGGTTACCGGGGATGGGGGGGTGTAGAACTCGGAGAGCCAGCGGGCGATCTCCGCGCGAAGGGAGGCATCGCCTTCATTGGGCCCGTAGCTGAGGGCCGGGGCGGAGAGGAGCGGGTTGGAGAGGATGGTGGATGTGGCTGTGGTTAGGGCGGGGAGGGGGTGGAGGGACGGGTTCGGCCAGCCTCGGAATAGGTTTATCTGTCGCATTACAAAGGGCGTGTGGTCATTTGGGGATTGGGGGATGGATATAATTAATTTTAATCGGGGGCAACGATGGAAGATTTAAATTGTTCTTGTTTTTTTTTTTTTTTTTTTTTTTTTTTTTTTTCCCCGGTTTTAATTGACAAGTGAGGCATTGTGCTCCAATGGTTTAGAGCAGGCCTTATAGTGGCTGAGGTAGCGTCACATGAAGCCAATTAACTCACTCGTTAGCCCAATGGAAGCATCCGCGGTTGCTTATCTATGACGCATATATTAATCTGGCTTGCACGACGGCGTTTGATATCAGGAGGTATCAGCATCAGGGAGGTTGCTTCTCGAGTTCTCACTCTCGGTTGCAATCTATATACTATCCCCGAGAGAAACAAATCATATATCTCCCATAGGAAAAGCAATCCTGTACATAACCCAGTATCATCCATTGACGCCGAAATACGACTCAAAAATCACATAAGCTATTATAATGTATTTCTCTGTAACAAGGATCAGGCTTTTAACGGCTCTGTCCCAATTCCTCGGCTGTGAGATAAAGTTGTTTAAGAAAGGTGCATATATCGAGCCAAATAACCTAGATGAAACAGGAATAGCAGTATCAACAGTATGACTAAGCGTAGACCGAAGCTCTGTGACCGCGAGACACCCCGCCCGCGCGTTATACTACATGGCAACGAACCCCCCGGGCCTTTAGTAATCTGGGATCCATCCAGGACTGACGTTGGGGCAGCATCAAGATATTGATTGTTGTTCGGTGGAGAGCCCTCGAATCAAGCGCCACCGCTCATTCTCGCGGGGCTAACCTGTTTGGAGCTAGCTCCAGGGGCAGCCCCTGGGGCGCGAGGCAAATCTAAACATAGCATTGTTGACTGCCTCGATTCGACTTCAGGTCGCCAGCAACGCAACGGCTGGCTGCCTTTGATGATATTATTACAACCACGCAATTAATTAGTTGCACGGCGCCAGAGAATCCCGAAAGAGCCTATTTTACGTTTTCTGTTTTCTATCCCTGTTCCTGACCGATGGCCAAGATTCGAGATTTCATCGCAGTCCAATGGATGATTATCCCCAAACACGATCGCGAACACGATCCCATTTTCAGTAACTTGCCGAAAAGAAAATGTGTCGACATACTGCGTAAGCACGGCCATTTTTGGTCTGGGGCTTGGTTTGGTTGGCGCAAGCGTGTGATGCGGCGAGTTCTCAAAAATCCATGAATTACTCAGTGGTCAATGGTTACAGCCTCGATTGAGGTTAATAATAAAGATGTCAACCCAAGTTTATCGCGTATCGGCTATCCCCGTGCCAGGATGACAGGTTGCCGCCCATCCAATGCTGCCAAGGGTCCATTTGATGTCGTTGTGGGTAATTCTTCACCGCTGTCAAGAATAAGAATGAGACGACAGAGCCCTCTTGCGTAGTTACTCGTAGCCACGCCGGTGTTCGCCTGTTCCAACGTCTCCACTTCTCGACCGCAAGAAGCCGTTGGAAAGTGGTTTAGTTACGAGGGCTGAGCCTCTGACTTTCCCCGCGCCACAAATGGAAGTTATTACTTATCTACGCCTTGCTTTAGCTGGTTAAGGTTGCAGATTGGGGGGCGGAGGACACTCTGGAATCAGGTTGCTTTTGGCTGCGTACTCACTCTCCTGGTTTTGACAAGTCATGGTCAACAATATGTTGTTGCGCCTGGCAAGTTGTCAAGGAGATTATTGACTGGAGCAACATTCAAGATTCATTTTGCTTTTTACCTTTTTCTTCTAATTTTATTTAATCAACTATAGATTCCCCACCGGTGGAGCCGGATCAACGGGGACGAGTCGGGCAAAACTACTTAGCAGCTAAATAGAATAAAATAGTTAACCACGGATCAGCAACGAAATGGATAACTACGGCAGAGAAGGGGGAACAATTGGAGGAAATCCCAGAGCTGAACTCCGGAATGAAAACCGCCAGTCACTAATAGTATCAACTTCACTTGACGGATTAAATTAGCATCCAAACCCATATATAGATCCCCAACTGTGAACTCGCGACGCTCCCGATTTGCTGGTAAACCTGCTGGGAGCTGTAGTAGCTGGCCTTGCGTCGACTTTGCTTCCACTTGCTCTGCTTGTTAACCTCACACATAAACTTGGCTGTGGTTTTATGATTTGGTGGTTTACGATCGTGTTTTCTCTTTTGTATTTTTTTTTTTTTTTGTATTCTCTCGTCATCACTCATCACCACCACCAACCACCACCACCAAATATCAACAACTCCAACTCTCCTCACCTCACCTTATTTTATCCTAATACCCCATTAGAACATATCACTTTTCCCCCTGTCGATCTGATCTACTTACAGCCCCCTTCCTCCCTGCAGTGTTTTCAGCTGGGTTTTCCAGCTTCCATTTCCATCTGTTTTCCTTTTCCCGCGTGCCGCCATCACACCCCCGATCCAATAACTCCCAGAGTTTAAACCTACAAGTCAATAGTCCAAGAGCCAAAATGCTCTCTACCCATTCCAAGTCAGCCAAGCGGCTGTCCTCTCTCTTCGCGCTGATTTCTAATTCCAAAGATAACTCCGACAATGCCCAATCTGCTTCTCAGCCCATCCCTCAAAACCCTCCGCCACACGACATCCCTCACGACCAGCATCATAACAACAACAACCACCATCTTTACATCCAACAACAACAACAGCAGCAGCAGCAGCAGCAACAGCAACAACAACAGCAACAACAACAGCAACAACAACAACAACAACAACAAAATCCTGCCTCTTCTTGCCCTTCTCTACGTCATGCCGCCTCAGCACAGCATCTCTCAACAAATTCCCTAGATGTCGTTCCCTCATCGAGCAGGATCGTGTCCACGCCGCTTCCAAGACCCGACTCAGTCACTATCAACGATGCCCAGCTGCTGCCCCCGCCCCCACTCACCACGGTAAACCCTGATCTCTCCAGTCCCGCGCGAGAGCGACGCCGGAGCTGGAACGGCGGGCTATCTAATATGGCGGCCGGTTCTGCTCGTCCCGCCTCCAGATCGGGCCTTCTCTCTGCCGTGAGCACCGATTCTAGGTCCTTCAAGACGCGCAGTTGGGTCTCTGGGAAATTACGCATGAATTCTGCTAATATGAATCGACCTCACCCGTCGATGCGGGCGTGGATTGCTGGGGCAGGACAGGACATGGCTTACGATATTAGCCCTCTGATAAACGGGGATATGGTACGTCTCCTATTGTTATTGTTATTGTTATTGTTATTTTTATTTATTTATTTAATTTTTACATATGAAATGTATTAACTTTTCAAAAGGTTGAGGAGCTGTGGGATGACAATGGAGACACTTTTGTATATCTTTTCCCACAAAATGCTGGCAGGGGCCCTTCCTTCAAAGTCGACTCATCTCTATTCGTGTCCTCCACCTCACTCACCTACCTAGCTCGAGGCGCAGATCCAACACCCAGGATCAAACAACGAACCATCCCTGAGGAATTGCAGATTGCTTATCCCCGTTCAGCTTCCCCAGCAGCGCGTAACAACACAGGATCCATTGAAGACGACGGGAGTAGTTTAATCAGTAGGACATCCGGCGAATACTCCTTAGACGAACCACTTCAACCGCTACATCTATACGTCCCTGTACCTCTAGACGGTGACGTTTCCAATAGACATGCTGTTCTCCAGGACAACGATGTTGACATGCTCGTACGGTTCCGAAATATGTTCGCCTTTTTAGTTGGCCAGTCCTTGGTTGCTACTCGTCGATTCCCCTCGATCTTTGACATTTTCCTGGAAATTTCCACCCTCCTTACTCGGTTTGAATTTACCAACTTGGACGGTTCAGGATTTGGAGAGACTGCTACCTCCAGCTTTGCTGCTTATTGCGACGAGCTTAGAATTAACGACGTGCGAAAGAGTCGCGAGAAAACACTCGAAGCTATTATTCTAGGAGAGCGAATGAAGTTCCTCCCATTGTATTCAGAAGGCTTCATCCACGGTGTTGGCAGGCTGAATGATATCAGACATTTAAATAGCTCCAAATACCCCCTTATTTCTGATATCACAAAGCAACGTATGGAAAGAGCATTCATCGACCTTGACACTCGCCTCAGAACTATTCGTAATAAATTGGAAGATTTTGATTTCCCCTCCCTCTTCTCCGGGATCGCCAACTCAAGCACCTTAAACGAAGCAAAAGTTATCCGCTTCAAAGACTGGAAAAACGCCTGTCTAGCATATAGAAAAAATGTTATCTCCTACTACCGTGCCCGGTTTGGATCATGGCCACCCAAGGCCAGTTCCAAAAAGAACCAGTTTGAAGAGAGCGGCCTAAATCGTCTGGTCCTCATGGAACTATACCAAGACTTTGCAGATTTGTACGACATGCTCGTTGACAGGACATCCCTGACCACCAGAACGATAGACATGGTCACGATGGACGACAATGGCGATCCCACAGACCCTCAGGAATCCAGCGCCCGCGCTCTCCGACAGGTAATGAGCGAATACGACCAGAGTACCCCACCCGTCCAACCCCCCGTGCCCTTCGACATCCCACTGCTTCCCAGTATCCGCTCCATACGCAAAAACCTCGATGCCACCAGTGAACTCAAAGAGCGCACCAAGAAGCTCAAAGTCGGCGAAGCCAACGAGGTCCTCGTCAGCTCCTATAACCACACAAGCATGAAACCCACCCCGTTCCTGGAGGACTTCACTCGCTTTGAACGCCGCGCAGCACTAGGCAAGACAGCAGATGAACTAGCCGACAACCGCTGTGGACAATGGCTATTCATGTACGCCGTTCTCCAGTCATTGCCAATGGTCGTTGTCGACGCGGCTGAAGTCCGCTTTACGCAGGGTGTAGAGCATTTCCTCTGCGTCCCCCCGCGCGGTGGCATACCATGGTGTCGCGAGGATACGAAATCCGGACGCAGCTGGTTCGGTGTCGCGGGTGGCTCGGGCGTGGTAAATCTGCCATCTGACGTTGTCGCGAATGGCGTCGAGGGCGTCT